TTAACAGATTAATCGCATATTTTCGTTTGCTGCATGCTTTTAAAAACACAATAAAAAATTTTTTTTTTTTTTTTTTTTTTGAGGCAAAATATGTAAAATACATCAAATAAAGGGAAAAAAAATTACAAAGAACTCATGCATTTCTAAAATACAGAATGCTTTATTTGTAGAATGCAGCATCAATTTAGCAAAAATAGTTCTATTATAGACAAAATCTACTTGGTCTTAAAAGTCCAGTTTATAGTAACAGCATCTTCAAGACATGGGTACCAGCCAGAAAGTGTGTAGATAGCAAAAACAGAAAGAAACATGAAAAAAAAGAAAAGAAATATGTACTCACAATTAACAGCATGTTGTACAGAGAACTAGAGCTTCAAGCATGCATTGCAACAATATAATAATATGCAATATGTTGTTTTTGCATAAATAAACTACAAAAGGAAGTAAACATTTAAGCAGTGGGGGAAAATGACAGAAACATACGAACAAATACTCAAATGTGGACATTTTCGATTGTGCTGGTTCTATGATGTAAACAGCTGTAAAAGGGTAGCAGGAAATACACCTGTGGTTATTTTGCACTGTTCTGAAACACTAAACACTGCACAGTGAGCTTTTAGAACTCCCAAGACATTCAGGCACATGTACAGCCAATAAAACAATCTCAAACGAACTACAAGCGATGCTTCGCAAAGAGAAAATGAAGCGGCTTGCTTAAAAGTAGTTTAGACTGGAAAAAAATGTGTAGTTTCTGTTTCCTTGCATCCTTTTTTAGATGTGAATTATTTATTTTCTTAACTCCAGGCACTGGTTTCCTGGCTACAGATTCAATTTCAACAGCTTAAACATTGTCTTACAAAAGACTCAGCATTAATGTAATCTACGCAAATGTCGTGTGAACTGCCGTTCAGAGATTTCTGCACTTACCATGATTGATGAGAATGTGATGATGATGATGATGATAATACAGCGAACTGAGAAAACATATTGTGGCAGCACTCAAATTGGTATCAAGGAAACAACACTAAAATAAAGAACATTTGAGAATATGTACTGTAGTTTAAAACTATTATTATCAGATGACGAAGGTAATCTAGTGTCACGTGTATTAAATTAATTCATTAAATAATAATAATACTTAATTTCCAAGTTCTCACATTATTCTGTTCAAAGATGGGCTTGAAACAAGACATTAGAGCTAAATTAGAGCTAATTTTGTGCACACAAGGAGTGTTTGAACTGATATTACAGAAAAATGTAATTAAACCAAGTTTTCTTTTTAAGAAAAACTGCTGGTATATTAGCATTTACCATTTCCTATGTAAGAAGTGGACAATTTCATGAAGAATGTCTGATATCAGCATTTGATCCCTCTTTGTCCCAAAGTAAGTCTTTGTCGCACTAATAATACAGATTCAGTCGACACTCAAAATACACAAATACAGACAAACATATAAGCAAACAAAAGGCGTTAGATCCCTATTATCTTATGTACCTCTGCAGTAGCTTACTAATGTTGGTCGAAGTGTATTTATATACCATGTTGCAGTTCTTTACATTAACTTAACAAGGTAGGGTTGTATTTGGTGAATGCAACACAGTAATTTTCCCATGGGCTAAATGAAACTGCCAACTGCTTTCCAACCCTCTTGAAAGTGAGAACAATCCAGGCAGACAACCACAGACACACTGAATCGAACAAAGGGTGGGAGCGAGTCAGTCAGTCTAATCCGACTTGTCTTTTTTCTTTGGTGTAACTTTACCAGCCACTGCAGACCCCACTGCCCCGACACCTCCCGTTACCACGGAGACGCCGCCTTTGACCAATCCCACTCCAGCTGCAGGAACGCTCGTCACAGCCGTCTTGGTCAGCTCAAAGCTCTTGCTGCCTACCCAGGCCACTCCCCCAAGGGTGGCGCCCACCGCTCCTCTGGTGAGGTTGAACAGCCCACCTGTCACTCTCCACACCACGCCTGCTTCATTCTTAGGGTGGTCTTTCTCCAAGTCTGAAAAATATTAGGGTAAACAGAAGTGTAAACGATCATTTAGATATAGATTTTAATAATTACAATAAATATTATAAAAATAATATTTTTTTATAAATATTTTTTTATTAAAAATATATTGATTTCTTTGTAAATAATCTGCATGGTAAAATAATATAAAAACAAACAAAAATAAATATAAATTAAAAATTGTATTGTAAAATAAATAACAAATAATACAAAAATAATATTTAGAATACAAGGAAATAAAAATAATAAGAATGATGATTATAAAATAACAGCAACATCATGTTATATGTTATTATTACTATATACGTTAGTATTATTTATCCTTTTTTATTGAACAAAATTCAAGTACAAACATTTAATGCATACTTTTATTATTATTCATCTTAAAATCTGACATTACATAAAATCCATACTTGCATCACAATATTAAGTTAGACCAGCCAGTGACCAATTTTGTCTTTTTATGACCAATGTGACTGTTTATGACAAAGTGTCTAATAGTTGATATGCAAACACAAATTAATTTTTATTTGTTTGTTTTTTGACACAATAAGTAAATAATTAGACAACAACAATAAAAGTAATATCCACAGTAAATATCCATAGTTATTATTATTTATAAAATGTATTATTATTAACAACAATAACAACAAAAACAACATGGCTTTTCCCCCTAGTTTTTGTCCAATAAGCAACCACCCAGAAACCACTAAGCAAACCTTATTTGGCAATGTAAAAAAACGAATGTATTCAAATCCGGCCTCATGCTGCCATCCTTCCGATGGCCCATAAAACACCTTTTATGAATAGATCCAGAGCAAACATAATTATTATCTCAATGCATCAGTGCAATTTTTCAGTTAAGAGCGTTAACTAAAGCCATGATTTTCAAATCATGTGTTTCAGGACACTCACTGAAAAATAATAGCCTTTATGTAAGTATTGTTTATTTTCCTCTGTGTTGGTTATGTGAGACTTAAAGCTTCAGGGCAGCATTTTGAAATCAGTTCATATCTAGGCCTGACACGGAGTAATACACTGAGCAGATGTGTTCTGACACACACACACACACACACACACACACACACACACAAACACTCTCTGTCCAAATGGCATCATCTTTCCCCTCTGTTGTTCCTTTGGCAGAATACAAGAAAAAAAGACTCTTTTCCTTCCGCCGGACAACTAGCATTTACACACCCCACAATACTCTGCGGACTGTGAACAGAAATGATATCTTTTACATTCATTCAATCAATACTGTCAAGTACGGCGTGGCTGGGTTGCACAATGAGCTCCCCGGTGAATCGATGTGCCACAGAGAAGCTGTGTGAATGACAAGCAGCACGTCTTCAGATGAGTCCCGCGGGACGGCGGAGGGAAAACTTCCCGGCACATTCAAGGTCGCCCCACACGTAATTCATATGTGCGCGGAAGTGGCCGCGCATAAACAACAACTGACACATGTTGAGATAGAACCAGCCTTGATGTGAAACATTTGTGAGATGCGACTAGACAGGAGATGAACGGATTTAACTAATGCCTGCTTTCCTTTTCTAACAGCCTCTCGCAAATGCCGAAATTCATTAATATGTATGAAACATGCCTACAAAGCTCCTGCTTCTACTAACACCATTTCTATACTGCGAGTTTCTCACTTTCAGCGTAGATTAGCGATCGTCTAATGTTTTTTAATGATGTACGATAACTGCTATGCAGAACCAATTTTTAAAATGGATATCTGTTTTTTGGCAAAACAAGGCAGCTGTTGAGGAGGTCAAGATAATAGTGGTAAGAGATGGCAATCATAGACGATGTTGGCGGGTAAGAAAACTTGCTCCTCCTGATTCCACACATGCAATTAAGACCTAACTCTTGCCATCTGGGCCTGGGGAGATGCAATTGTGCTTTCCACGCTACCAAACCTCAAACCATTTTTGTATTAAGCCTGAGTAAGCAAAATAAGAGATGCATGTTTCAAAAAAGGAATGAGATTATTTCTGAATTTACATTTTTATATATTATTTCCAATGAAAGAAGGGTAGACCAATGATGATGGCTTATGTTTCTCTTAGGATAATAAGTAGGCCTACACAGAATCTGCACATTTTCCACATTGTGTGCCAAGCAATATTGATGTGTAAATCATTCGTTCTTGCGTAAATTCTCATACAAAATTGTTTGTAAAGCCATTCTAATGTAAACTCACAACACAATAAGTACATTGTACTTAATTTTTGATGTAAGTACATAGTAGTTAATGCCACTTAATATAAAGTGGGGCCAAACTCACAATTATATGACAAGCAATTTATGTATAATTTTTCGCAAATCCATTGTCATATAAACAGTCAAATTCAAATCACAAGCAGTTTTTGTATAAATTGTTCATGAAACCATTCTAACATAAAATGTGACGTTCATATGCCAAACAATTTGTGAATGAATTGTTTAAATACATTCTAAACTCATATTCATATGAGCAGTTCATGCATATTGTTCACAAATCCATTCTTACATAAACTGACACATTCATATGACAAACCATTTTCATGAAAATTTTACACAAAGCCATTCTAACATAAAAAGGGACATCCATGACAAACAATTTTCCCTTATGTTCGTAAGTGCATTCTAATGTAAACTCATATTCATATGATGAAATGTAAGAATGGATGTTTGTAAAACCATTTTTACGTAAACTGTCATATTCATATAAGTGATTTTCATATAAATTGTTTGTAAATGCATGCTAATGTAAACACATTCATATGACGAGTAATTTTCATGTAATTTGTTTTTAAATCCACTCGAATGTAAACTAATTCAAATGACAAGCAAAACCAAAAACAGTCGTAAATCAATTTTAATTTAAATAGAGATGCACCGATTGCAATTTTCTTGGTCGATTCCAATTTCCGATTTTTTTGAAAGTGTGACCTGCCGATACTGATTTTTGCCAATTTTCTTTCAAAGAAATATAACTGACAGCTTATACAAACAAAAATCTACTTTTTTTCAATGCTAAAAAAATTTTTACATAAAAAAATTATTAAACATTACAATTTCCCCAATCTGGACTAAGTTACAGATGTTCTCTCACTTAAACAACTCTAAAATAAAGTGCTCCGTGACTGGAAAGAGACATAATTAAAGCAGCACTATGTTACTTTTTCTGTGTTCAAAATTAGCAAAATGTATATAGTGCTGCTTTAAGATAATACATTAAAATAATATGGTAAGACACACCAGTTTGCAATATCAAGCAGCAAAACGAGCTGTTTTGTACAGCTAAAAATAGCTGGAAGCGGATGACACCGGAAGCCAGACCCATTAAATTTACAAATGGCCGCACCCACTCTTACAGGAAAAATCAAGTGGATATGAGTGACATGTCTTGGGTATTCTATAGTCTTTGGTGAGACTGACCGGCCGGTCACCGGTCCGGGCCTATCACGCGGAAAATCTTCTGATTCCGGTCCCTGGCCGGTCAAACGGTGCATCTCTAAACGTGAACTGTCACATTGAAATGACAAGCTATTTTAGTGTAATTTTTTGTAACTGAAAATGTGACAAGCAATTTTTCTGCAAATTCAAAAATATTTTTTTACATAAATTGTTGTATGACAGTCAATTGTGGTGTAAATTGTTTGTAAATCAGTGCTTATGCACAATGCTGCACAACTGGTGTAACAATCTGCAACAATTTACGTAAGAACAGTATGTTTCATGAATGAGGCAACTGATTGTGAGATTCACACAGGCATCAGGGACAAGTTTGTAAATGACAGCCGTTGTAATTCAGTTAAATTCAGTACAAGAAGTACAATAAAACTGCAGATAACCAGTAAAAGACACTCTACCATGTCATTAATTAAGTCCCATTAAACTAACAGGATGTAAAAATGGTCTTGACTACATGCCCATGGGTACTAGAATAACAAATGTGAAACAAATGAGTCTATAATTCGGACATTGCATGCAAATAACCGTCATTAATAGCAACGTGTGACAACAATGCAATGTATGCAAAAATTCTGGATTGTCAATCCAACACATACCCCACAAAATAAAATAGAATATGGCAGCCAAATAATAAGTCACCAACAACATGCAAACAATACATGTCACAAACCTCCGTTCTGCATAGTTAAACATTATAAGCTGCTGAATCTCATATTCAACAGCAAATCTGTGTACATCATGCATGATTTCTGATGAGAACAGAGAGGAAAGACCTCATCCTAATCTGTCTTAACCAGATTACTGACCCAAAAATGGGATAATACAGGTAGGATCTGACTGAAGGGGAGGAGAGAGAGCGCAGCGCTGTGTTTGGATGAATAATTTTTTTACTGTTTAATCATATCGCTGCGGTAGATAACAACATTAAATAATATAGATCCGGGTTCATCAGCTTAAATTAATAATTATTGACAGAATCCCTGTCTCACTGTCGATTGCAGCAGACAATACATTTGACTTGTCATATAAACTTAAGTAAAAATAAAAAAATTGGTAAAGCAGAAATGAGACACTCATATGTTTTTTAAAGTACTTATATTAATTCTATAAAAGAATTACAATGATTTACTAATATATATATATATATATATATATATATATATTAGTAAATCATTGTTCGGCTTTTGGTATCGGGGCATTTTAACGAGTACGAGTACAAGAGCGCAGTATCGGGCCCGATACCGTGCATCCCTAGTTTAGTATCATTTGGTTCTTTGGTGTCCTTTTGGAGTTTCTAAGTGTCCTTTTTTGGAAAGACATCTAAATTTATCTTTAAAAAAGCTTGCAGAAAATACAGATTTTTGAGAATCACCCTTCAATCTTTCGGTTTACTTTGCTGAATATAGCAAATTATGATAAAATAAACATTTGAAACAAGATAAATGGTATATGCTTAATTTCACGAAGTGTGCGATTAATCGCGATTAAATCACAGAAAAAGGATGTGATTAATTAGATTAAAAAAT